CCTGCTGTTCATCCTCTCTTCCTAAAACACTTGGAAATGATGAAAACAAAATCCACACTCCTTTTGTGCAAAAATGTATTTGCAGCTAATATGAGACTTCAGCAGTCTGAAAAATCAAGATAAACCAAGTGGACAGTGAGTTTTAGTACCAAAAGGAGAAAATTTTGTATAAAAATGGCTGAAACTTTGAGAGGCCCCATGAAACACAAATCATACTCAGTCATACACACAATCTCACACATCCACTTCTATATTCTTCCACACACACTACTATGCCCTCTTACATGTACAGTCATACTTCCATACTCTCCTACACAAACTACTATTCTCTCTAATAGACACAACAAGAAAGAAAATCATTTTCAGCCTTTCCCATTTTTTAGGAGTCGCCACTGTGACAACTCGCATGCTGACATTTGGCAGGTGTTTTACACCGGATGCCCTTCCTGTTGCAACCCTGACTGCAGCGGTGAGAGTGCTTTGCCTTAACCACTAGCCTAGTCTCTAATAGACACAGTTATACTCTCTTATATGCACCATCATAGGCCTAGCCTTTCACAGACACCATATATTTTCATACACACACACTCGTATGCACACATGCACATACAATATATTATATTGTTGCATAACAGTTTATGTAAGAGAGGATATGTAATAAATTACGATGTGATTTTAATAGTGTATGTGAAACACAATAATAGCATATGTAAGAAATATTAATGGTCTGTGTGAATGAGAATAGTCATGTGTAAGCAACAGCATGATAGTGAATGTAAAATAGAATTGTTGTTTGTGTGAGAGAGTTTGATTGAAATGGAAGAGAGTTTGCTTGAATACTGAATTCTCAGTTCCTGATTGGCTTATCTTTGTACACAAAGGATTTGGCCCGCCTTTCCAAGCATGAGGAGAACATGGTGGACAAGTGGCAACTCAGTGAAGCTGTTCAAGTGTAATTCATTATTAATGTGTGACATGGACATTGGGTAATGCCTTTTTTTACGTTGTGTTTACTTGGAGTAATTGGGTATCACACAAATGGTTGATATGCTTATATAACACTCATTTAATTAAATGATCAGGACCTCATTTCAGTGGCAGTGGCAGAGGGTGTTTGATAAGAAGCCTCTTTAGACTATTATACAGTAACATAGAGGATGCATGTGCAGAGAAGAAGAACACCTGGAGACGAGACAGCAGGTGTTCCTTCGTGGACCTGTTGGCCAGCACTACTCTGAGGCAGCCTCCACTGTCACCTGTGAGCACACCTGCCCAGCAATGGCAACACAGGTCAGCTGACACAACACCTGTCCTCCCAGCTCTGACAATGGAGTGAAAACTAAACTTCAGGACAGTGAAATAGAGAAATGCAGAAATTTAGTCCAAACCCTTCAGCTGAAGTTTACTCTTACACTCTTACTCTGTTTGTAAAGGCCATACAAAGGATCACTGGCAATAACCTACCTACCATCAATGATATATACTGTACAACAGTAGGTACAGGAAAGCGACCTCTAATATCTTACAGGACTCTTCCTATCTTGCTAACAGACTTTTTGGTCCCCTCCCTTCAGGCAGCAGGCTACACAGCATCAGGGCCACAACCACCAGGCTCAGGAACTCTTACATAAACTGTTATGCAAGAATATAATGTATGTGCATGTGTGCATGCGAGCGTGTGTGTATGAGAACATGTTGGCCTATGATGGTGTATATAGAGTATTGTTGTGTGTGTTAGAGAGAATAATAGTTTGTGTAGGAGAGTATGTAAGTAAATAAAGGAAAGTATGACTGCACATGTAAGAGGGCATAGTAATGTATATAAAAGAATATAGTAATGGATGCATGAGATTATGATGTGTGTGTATGACTGAGTATGATTTGTGTCTCATGGGGCCTCTCATAGTTTATGCAGTTTATGGTCAGTGCCATCTATTCTATTTGGAACTAGGTTCTTCTAAATAAGGAGTCCGGGTGTGCTTTTGCTCTGCCACCTTCACTTAGCTTATTGAAAACACCAGCCACACTTGCCCCCTGCTATGTACCAAACTATGGACAGCCATAATGACAAAGATCATATTGTAACATACAGCATATAAAGAGCATTATATAGACATATGAGGACAAGCCAGCTTCCAGGGGCCTCCAACAGCCCTGCGCCACATGACTTCCCCTCCCCACAAAGACCTGGTAGGAAGACAGTCTACACAACCACAGCAGAGAGAAAACCCAAACATGATGCTAAAATCAGTGTAATGTGGTAAA